GGTTTGAAGTCGTCTACGCCAGGTCAGCTGTGCACGCGCAATGACATTAGCGTTTTCATCACATTGGATGCTGTGAACATTAAGTGGGTTAAACCGGGTGGCGACGGCAGCTGTGTCAAAAGCGGACGAAATGATGATTTCCTCTGGAACATGTGGATGAGTTGTTGACGAAACATGTTTGTCGAAACTTTGCAGTTTGTGCCAGACCAACAGTTGCACATAGAACTGGGATCACGCGCTTCACTGCGGAGCTTGTTGATGTGTCTATACAACAACTTGGGATTCGTACTGAATCTCGCCGCTAATTTCGGTTGGTGTTGATTTGTCTTCGCGGATCAACTTGACACAGTGTTTTCGTTGAGTTGTGTAAGCACCACAGGTCAGGTTACTTGGACATAATTTGTAAGCTGGGAAGATTTCATCACGCCAGTCCATGCATTTTCTAGTACGGCTATTCAGGAACGAGTTCACCTGCTTCGGGCGAAAGACCTTGCTTGCTGACGTACTTGCCATTAGCTCGGTGAACTAGGAGACACACCATCCAAATGACATCGGGCGGCTACTCGACCAGGAAGGGCCAGTCGGTTTTTTGAACGAGCTTTGGACAGGATATCGTTATGTTTAACGATATATGTTTCTACGCTGTCTTCACTGATGTACTCTGAGTAACAGATGTAACGAAAGAGTAACATCGCGTGATCGCCACAACCAAGTGGTGCATCTATAACCACGGTTTCGACCATAATTTTCTCGTTGGTGAGCACAAGGTACAAAATAGTTTGTGTGTCACCCGTTCGGAATCGCGTGCGAGAGATCGCTTTGTAGTACAGAGGTACATCAGTAAACACCTCTTGAAATTCCGACTTGAATTGTTCGCTGTGCGATGACAGAACTTCGGTTGCTTGAACATTGGAGTCCCCCATCACAAGGACATGACTGCGTAGTCGTGCCAGGACGCGCTTCGTCACAAAAGCAAGGTACTGATCCATTTTTACAGTGGACATTAGAGGGCAGCAATTGCTAGTAAACACACATCACCACATCTTAGGTACCTATGATACCAAAGAGAATCGACAACTTGCGTTCCTTGATCCTAGATGATATCAACATGCAGGTCGGATCGATAATGCAAGAGAAGTCCCCTCCACCGCTAAGTCGATCGTTTCGTATGGAATTCATGCTGGGTAGTGCAATCGCAGCATCGGTGATCTCCGTGTTTAGCCATGTTTCGGTGACCATTACTAGGTCACAATGCTTGGAGATCTGACGAATACGAAGTTCGGTTAGCTTGCGCAGAAGACCATGTGCATTGGTATCCAAACAGGTGAGGACATCGGTGTTTAGAAGTGTGTTTGTGATTGCTGACTTCCGTTGAGTGTCCATCATGACCCTTGCGGGGTCGGCTGCTGGTCGTATTTTTAGAGGACCGATGACGCAGGCCCCAGCACCAGTTCACGTTATTGTATATAGTTCTCAGCGCCAGCAAAAGGGTGATCATTCTGTCCTTCTTCAGCTGCCGGCGTGTTGAGGTGTTGTCTCGGTCCTGAGCTACACAGGGACGAATTAGTACTGATAAATTTTCTGTACAGTGATACCCTATCTATCTGTGACCCGGTGCCTATCGCCTTTATAAGTATTTCAGATTGAGGTATTTTACGCTTTTTGTTTCACATTTTGGGCACATGTTCTGTCATCAGTACGGAGTGGAATGATACTTTCCTGTCTCGAGGACCACACCCGTTTTAGTTAGTTGATAGCTGTAAGCTAGATGTCAAAATAGCAATAAGGTTTGGAGTGAAAGCACTTCACGAATAAAACGCCATTCGTCGCATTAATGCTCTTTGACCTCTAGCTCGTTTAATGTCTGAAACTGGGATATACCGTGAACAAGGATAGATATTGCGTCTCATTTTTAAGGAAGTCTTCCGGATTTTGTATGGGTTTCTGGTGGTCGTTTCAAGAAACTAGACCATGGCCAGGCATCAGTAGTGCAGAAAGTGAACATGGGAGGCAGAAGATATTAAGGGTAAAAGTTGTTAGCGTGCGACTGAGACCAGAAATGCAAGTACAGAAATTACCCTGCATTAAAGTGGTGCTGCGGTTTTGGGCACATTAGAGGGAAGCTAGGTAAAAGCCATTGCCGAATCATTTCTTTATTGGATTTGCGTCCCTAGATCAGAATTCCCGTCAACTCCATGTTTGCATTAACAAACTTGCTCTCTAACTGCTGAGCCAGTTTGCCCTTTAGGCTTGAGCAAGAAGCTAGTTCACCACTTGAACAAAACGAGCCATAATTCAACCTATCAATTAAACGTAGTCTAGGCTAAGAGAAGACGTTACACCCAGCCTCTCTGTTACAACGGTTTAGGAGCAAACTCGACGCGAATTCCAAGTGCTAAGCACACCGGGTCAAACGTTAATACTTCGGATATTTCAGTAACCAAAAATTGCTAGTATTTGTAAGATGGAAAACAAACCTTACATACTTACTATAACCTGATACGCCTATAGTTATTTGCGGCAGTTGAAGAGGTACGAAGCGACGAACAATGGTTGGCCCACATGCTGAGCTAAGTTTTCGAGCCAGTAGACAGAATGAGTCAATTGTGGGTGTGTACGAAGGCTATCTTAACCCGACCGCATTGCAAAGGTGAATAATCAGATTCCGCGTATAGTTAAGAGCAATGCTTACGCACAACTACTTTACCACGAATTAACACAATTTTTTAAACCCAATTCTTATAACAGTGAGGATACTGAACACAAAGAAGTAGCGAGATTAAAGCTCGAAGACGTCGCGGTAATTGGTACCCTGGGGGTTGGTGGCTTCGGAAGAGTCGAACTGGTAAGTTATCCTTTCCGCACATTTCTTGAGGGATAAAACCGTTTCATACCGTGAGCGAAATTTGGACAAAGTCCACAAAAATATTAAACCGTATTGTGTAGCTTACCAAATAAAAGCTATAGTAAGCTGTAATTAAAACTTGAACTACCAGTAGTGGAAGTTATCTGGTTGTTCGGAAGATAAGTTCATTTTTTGATAAAAATTATAAACGATTTTCTTATAGGGAATGAATATTTTATTATATTATATATTCTTCCTTCTGGTCCAATATCTTTTGCCATCTTTCTCTTCGTAACATGATTCCACGCTCATAAAATTGTTTTTCTTTGGTAGCAAAATGCTGATGCAGGTGATATTTGGCAAACTCGTTTGAGGTAAAATATTACCTTGTAGATAATATTGTAGAGACGGAAACAAATAATAATCCAAAAGTGCCAGATCTGCAGAATGTGCTAGGTTTGGTAGTACATCCCATCAAAGCTCTAAAAGCCTTTGACGTGTTAGCAAACATGTGAAATCTCGCATTGCCTTGGTGGAACACTGCACCTTTTCTACCGATCAGTTGTGACCTTTTCTGTTTAAGTGAATCATTTAATTTGGCAAAGTGATGACAGTACACTTCAGAATTGCTCGTTGTGTTATCCGCTAGAGGTTTAAGAATGATTCTTTTGAAATCCTAACGAACAGGTCGCATCAACTTTTAGTTAATATCGGCTTTCGAATTGGTTTCAGCCGATTCATCTCTTTTACTCCATGACCTCTTGCGTTTGACATTGTTGCAGACAGTCCATTTCTCGCCCCCGTTGATGATGCGCTTTAAAAATGGATTATTTTTTGACGTTTGAGAAGTAAATCACAGACCTCAATGTGACGGCACAAATTTCTTTTCGTAAGAACATGATAAACCGAAATGCCGAGCTTTGAGATAAAACCTGGGCGTTTCAAATTATCATGAACGTGAAGTAGATAAATTTAATCTCTCAGTGACCTCACGAGATGCTCGCCGGTTTGTATCACCTACTGCAAAGTAATTAAATAAGTGACAAAATTACTAAATGCAATCACTTAAATATTTATTGTTGTATCGCAATTCTGCAAACCAGTTTCGGCACTGTCATTCTATCAGCATAAATTTTCCGATAATTTTGTTCATGCTTGAACAGCATTTTTATCTTTTCGACAGTAAAAATGTAAACTTTGCAAAAAATGATGCTTTTCACTTCCCACTTTTGGAAGAGCGTGAAAAAAAAATACTGCGTGTAATCAATCAAACTTTTTCATCAGCAAGCCTTGCTATATCAGCTGTCGAAATATAAAAGTGCTGCTTAAGTGAATAGTTCGCTGCGAAAAATATACAATAAAATCTTAGGTTGGGAAAAAGAGAAAGTACTTTCCGAACAACCAGATAATACACAAACTCACTTAATTTCACTTGGGCTGCACTACTGTTTGTGGAGAAGAAATAAATTTTGAACTAGTAGGGCAGACATGGAAGAATTACTGTAGAACTTAAGGTTAGGCGTGAAAATACAGTATCATTTGACCTACTTCACATTCCTGTGACTTATATGTAGATAGGACTAGTTGGATTTTTACTGATAGGCTGGTGAATTGAGCCAACGTTTTAGGAGCACAGCTGTCTTGACATGACGCGGCTTCCATGACTCCTGAAACAGTTAAGTGCGTGTGTTTGCGTTATTTTAGTTCACTGTTTGATAATGAAGTAAAGCTATCAACAAGCTGAGTCGATGGGACTGCAAAGAATATTTGATCAAAAAGGATGGATAATACGTAGACACAGATGGTACATCGAACAGTAAATGCCAGTAGTTAATTACTGGTGGAAGAGAAAATAAACTCGCCGTCTCTCCGCTTTTCGTGATCTCGCATGTAACACACCCACCTTGTGGCCAAAACAGCTAGTTGGAGGTGAAATTAAGGTAGGATTTAAAAATCAGTATTAATGAAATATCGAATTCTGACACCAGCTGGAAGGAGGTATTTTTGATCCCGCGACCCAATGTTTACATGTTATCAGCAATGTAAGACATGATATTGGAAAGTTACAGTGAGATTCATGGATTCAATTACTGGTAAAGCCAGCGTTGCACAATAACGAAAAATCCCATATGGGGATAACGGTCGTCCAGTGTTTCCTCGGGCAAATGTTACGCTGGCTTACTCAGACGTTAGTGCAAAAATCTAAATATTTACCTAAATAGTACATACTCACAAATTATCAGGCTAGTTATACTATAGATTTCAACCGCCGTCACTGTTAGCGGGTGTCTGGTCAACATAACTTGGCGTCGTGCTTAGACTACGCTCCCATGTTATTAGATTTGCAACTTCAAATTCTCCACGCATATTATTGTGCTTAACTTATCCAACTTGCATTTAATAGCGCTGTCCAGCGGATCTACCACTGCAGGATTAGTTAACACACAACATCGTTGCATCCGGTACAGCAAGTTCAGCGGAATTTTTACGGAAATCCAGGCGCGCTTCAACCTTAATTTCAAGTTCATATCCACATTTTATCCTCATTCGACAGTGTGCTTCTTGTGTTTTCCAGCGAAACATTTATCACAAGAAGAGGACAAAACATTTGGTAGCCGCAGCTCATTTAGCAACCATCATCCTAATACTCACCCATCTAGCGTGAATTAACTGCGCTTATCGAAGCTCAACTTTACACCAAGCCGAAACCCGGCCTAATCGACAGCTAAACGCCTACCGGACAAACATATATATATATATATATATATATATATAATATGGTCGCATGTTTACCTTCGTTGGCTTTGTCTGCAACTGTGGTCCTACTCGTAGGACAATATCAAGCGACATTTTGTGCCTGTACCAACACGCTGGGCGATCGCAACTTATCCACGTGACGAACGCATCGGCATGGTTGAAACACAGCCACAAGGAAAGAACATAGTCACTTTCCATTCGGCCTCAGACAAAAGTGCCTTGCGGTCCAAAATCGTGCCTCAAGAATATTCGAATATGAATAACATGTAGTGACTGCAGTATAAAATTCCATTCCACATGCGTAAAATTAGGTGCTTCGAAATTGAAAGAACTACTTTGCACACCACACGCCGTTTGTTTCTGTCAAGGGTGTATGATCAATTCACTCGTGATTTGCAGCACCGTACTGGCATAGCATCGTGACAAGCTGACAGCGGTTGTACAGCGTGGGACGTCTGGTATAGCAGGCGCATCGAAACCCGCTGCAGCAGAACTCCATTTCAGTTGCCCAAAGTTATAAACAAACTTGTAACACAGTAGCCAAAGCACGTGTTTAACTAACAGCGTAGAGCATGCTACCCAAACCACGAGGTCTAGCAAACAGGCGGGCAACAAATAGTTGCCAAACACGGCGACCCCAACTTTGAATAGATTGGTCTTTCCCGTTGACGCGTCTGTGTCACCTGAACTCCATTGCACTCGAGTTTATAAAACACTGCCGAAACTACCACAAAATGCACATCCATGTTGGGTGCATGCAGAGCCAAGTAAAAGGTAGCGGCAGTTCTGCAGCTACTCCAACGATTGTTAGAAATGATACGAAAAGCAATGTACCTGTGCGAAGGCCGTCTACCTTGCCAGGAGAAGGACCCAGAACATGTTAATATATTAAAGTGCCTGAGTGGAAGTCAGACTCTATTAAAGCTAAAATACTGAAGGTCCTGAAATGCTGGGAATACAGTCCAAACAGGTAAGTTTTGTCGCCACGTCCTCCGCCAAAACTAAGTTCACTATGGTCAACCAACACTACTTCAAATGATATTTCAGTCGTGTGAGGATGTTAAGACCGCCCTTATGTCATCTCACCGTCTTCATGAATCGTCGGGCAGCGTTGGTTTATTGCCTGACATCCATTAAGGTGAGCGCCTGCAAATGCTTCCAAACCCAGCAGGACGAAAGAAAACTGATGCAATATCGATCTAGGTCTATGGTGTATTAAACATGCTGGCTTTCAATGTGTCGCAGGCTCAAGCTATGTTTGTATCAACTGAAATGCCGTCAGTAAAACAAGTGAACATTTTGAAGGTTAAAACAACGGTAACATCCAATTTTTCAAAATATTGAAAGACTGTGATTTGAGGTACATCACAACACTGAAATGGAACTAAAAACACAGTTTCTAGAAATGCGCGAAGAGACTAAACTGAAAATGGATTTTCAAAGCACACCACTGTTAGCATTTTGTGCAAAGATAGTAGGTGAGCATCCACTGCTATCGGAATGAGCATTGAGAATATTTGTCCATTCGCTGCAACTCATACATGTGAAAGTGGATTTTTGACAGTGGTGACCATGAAAAGAAAAGCAAGGAAAATAATGAAGTTGGAGCACGACACGATGTGCATTAGCAGCAAATGAAACCAAATGTAACAGAACTTGATGGAGCTAAGGAATATCAGCGACTCATTGATGTACGTCGTCTTTTGATTGCATTCGATTATGCAAAGCATAATTGTTTTCTTTCTCTTATTGATCGACAGTAATTCTAAATGGGTATCACTTGCTCTGATCAGAAGCAAAAAGCGCTACAGTTCTTTGCCAGTTAGCGTTTGAAATGGAAACCACGGGGGGTTGGATATACTTAAATTGATTTGTCAGTAACAGTCTCGAAAAGGTTAAGAACCGCTGGTGTACAGCAGCATACAGAAGCGATATATGTGATACCGCTTTCTAGCAGCATCATCAAAGTCGTATCTGGGATTTGAGCACGAATAGTTAGACGCGGTACTTAATGTAAGAAAGTCATGTCTTCGCACTACACTCAGATGAGCAGCGCAACGATACATCATCTTCCGAGCTATTGTTTATGTCCAGTGCAAAAAAGACGACGACTTCAAATAAGAGAGCTTCTACTCTGGATCACTAGGCATCACTACACGAGTTGCGATGTGCATTAGGACAACCATCACAAATATGCCAGAAACTGTGTATTCATCACTAATTGATATCAAGAAAAATTGCACAAATATGGGGTTTTCTTTATTTACCTGATCGAACGTAATAATCGGTAATTTAAAGTAAAAATGGTAATTGTTGTTAGGTAATTAGCTTTTGAACTTTTGGGAGTAACTGCTTATGTTGAACCCACTTTGGGGGTAACGGTCACAGAAAGGTTGGGAACCACTGTTTTAGGGAGTAAGCTTATACATGAATTGCATAGTAAAGAAGGTTGAGCTTCGCTACAGCGCAGTCTGCTTTCAGGTCATCAAGGTGTACGGCGGTCACTCAGGATATATGACAGTAAGCTGATGACGTAATTTATTAGTGTCGAGAGGCCGTGTGCTCGGTTTCTTGTGGAGTCGAAGGATGACTTACTGATGGGATACGTGAGCGTCTATCAACCTTGAATTATGCTTCTAAGGACATTCATTTGATAATATTTAACCTTGTCAGGAGTAATGCTTATCTGGATGTAATATACCTGCATATATATTGAGCAACCAAAGGAGCTGGACAGCGATTCATTAGGGGAAGCTTTTATAGCAATCTCAATTAATTAATACCAAGGGAAACTTTTGAATTATAATTATATACTGCTGAAGATTTCAGAGAATGCTAATGGCACACCAAATATATATCATAAGATGGCAGAAATAGTTAGTATCTAGAGTGGCAAATTTGAGATCTTTCACTAAAGTGGGCTGTTAATTATACAACTTCACGTAACCTTTTACACCAGGATAATGCATGCACGCTGTGCGAAGCGCTGCTTTGATTAGGATAGCGGGTGTCATGGTGATGGTAGAGAGGAAGCTGTACAACACCACTGACCGGTAAGCAGCAGACAGTCAATGTATTGATAGAGATACAAAAATATGATTGTTACAATAGTTAGAAGGTATCCCTTTTATCATTATAAGTGGCCGATTTCATTGGTTTATGTACTAGCATTTTAACCTGTTTGTTTCAAACTGTTTCATTAACAGGTGCGAGTAAAAGGAATCACTCGTAAAAATTTCGCATTAAAGAAGATTAAGAAATGTCACGTCAAGAAAACTCATCAGGAGGAACATGTGCTAAACGAGAGGAGTATTCTGTTAGAGGTCAGCTCTAGCTTTATTGTCAAGTAAGCTGGTTGAAATGAAGCATTTGCATGTGGCAGCAACCTAGAAAATTCTTGTGAGACATTAAACCTCAGAAGTAACGTATGATTTATCGCAATCTATTTGTATGGGATTCGTGTTTTTCTGCCATGTATAAATTTACAACTGAACTGTGCATCCGCTGAATTAATCAAATTGTAGCTATTCTGTCGAAGTACAAATCATTACTACTTAGTTCACCTAAATATTACAGTTCAATATAAACTGTAAAGGATTTGAGAGAGAGGTTAGCATGAGAAACGGAAAGAGACTTGAATCGACATATGGATAATTGAGAGAAATGTCAGTCTCTCTGCTTAATCACAACGTAAAACACGCAGTTGGAGTTAAAAGAAAATTAGTATTTTCTGTGTTTCCTTACGTAAGTTGTTAAGCCAGTTTAGGTTAAAAACAGGCACGTGAAAAGAACAGAATTAAGAACTAGATAATAATCCACGACCATTGTGCGGACAATAAACATGATTTCATTTTGGAAATTTGAAAGGATTGGCTAACACAAACACGACCTATAGAGAACCATTATTAGTAAAGTATATAGTGCAATATAGTGTAATGTGTAAGAAGATGCGAGACCTACAATTCATTTGCTTTGAGCGGAATACATTTAAAAGTGCGTGAGTACTAAACAATCTAAAGAAGTTTTCATATTTGTGGGCGTAACTAATTTCGTTATAACCACAAATTAGTTGGCTGTAGTTCCGCGTGTCTCAGTTTATAGCACTTTGGCTGAACACCATTGAACAATGAACAATGAATTTATACGGGTTAAGAAGCGTTGCTTTACAAGCCCCGTTGGATAGTTGGTGGGGGTATCAACATAATAATTATGATGAAAAGGATAGTAAAATAGTTAAAACTTTAAGTACGAAAATAAGGACTTATCGTTTGCTTCGCTGCAGTCCTGCGATCCACTTAGATTCACAACACCCACAGTTACCAACAAATAATTCCAGGGTAAACTCCAGGTGTAGGATGGAGACATAGTGTTAAGTAACAAAGTGTAAGTGGATGAGTGCATCGTCCAACCGTCTTTTAAATACTGTTAGTGTCGGTGCAGAGAGGACCGATTCTGGGAGAGCATTCCCAAAAAGCACATCACCACCACGGAGTGACAGACAAACAACACAAGACAGACAAAACATAGCTAAAAAACTGAAATGAGGTAAATGTGTGTTGTG